AGAGAGAGAGAGAGAGAGAGAGAGAGAGAGAGAGAGAGAGAGAGAGAGAGAGAGAGAGAGAGAGAGAGAGAGAGAGAGAGAGAGAGAGTTCAGGCAGAGAGAGAGAGAGAGAGTTCAGGCAGAGGTTTCACGGGCATATGCCCAGGATCTGATTCAACAGTTTTTTTGGCAGACATTGATTGGACACTCGGCCATGGACTATATTTTTGGACTTCGCTATCGCGATCTTGGTCTTCTCCCTTGCCTCCATCTTCGTCTCGCCTCCCCCCATCTCTCGGCCGTGGTATCTCCCCCCTTGTGCGTGTGCAAGGAGGGACCTTTCTTCTATGTATGAGGTCCCTCCTCTCTCTCACACATGTGTGGTGCATGATGGGGTGTTGCGTCAGTATCTGACAGGTCAGATCATCTTGAGTCTTCCGTTGCGCTACATTGTGCTGTTCCCATATGTATGTGGATGTGCATTGCTCGTTGATGCTTGGCTGAAACTGCATTGTTCATACGAGGCCTTTCAATCACTTTGCGGATCCTTGGCTCCTGTACATCGCCCGATTGGGCATGTATCACCTGGGCTCAACTGTACACTGCAGCCCTTTGCTTCGGGAAAGAGCCTGGAGGCTCACGTTGCTCTGTAACCAACTGGTGTGCTGCAACTGTCTGAGTGCCCACATGTGGAAAAAATGTCGAAAACAGGCCTCGCGTGGATATTCAGGCCCACCTTCACTTAGGGCGGGCACAAGGCTTGCTGGGGGGGGGCACAGCCCAGAACACTTGTATGTCTGATAAGGGCTCCGCGCGGCTCATTCCTCGCTCACTCTGGCCCTTCTGGGTCATTAAAAGTGTTGTCAGTAAGGAAGTCAATTGGGTAATTCTGACTAATTAGTAATTTCCCCCTTCAGTTCTATAAAAAACATTTTTATAGAATTTTATTCCAATTATTAGGGGCCACAGTGGCACTTATTATTTGCATGTCGGTGAGCTTCGGTGGAGGCTCCAGACGTCAGGTCAGCTCGGTTTATTTATTGAATTTCATTCCAATTATTAACCATCGTTGTCCCTCCCCTCACTCTTCATCATCTCCCTCTTGCCTTGTTTGCACATGCATGCGTCCGCTTTTGTGATCAGCTACTTGCGCTGCGATCCTGAAGATCATTACTTTCTCCTCACTGAGAGTCCGCTAACGGCTCCGGAGAATCGTGAGTACATGGCAGAGATCATGTTCGAAACGTGAGTCAACCTCGAGTATCCCCTCCAAATTATTGAAATGACCTCACTATCGCTAGTGTCTCCCTGCTGTGTCCCTCCCTTTTCTCCCTTCCGTGTTCCCTCCTCTCCCTGTTCCCTCCCCACCCTGTTCCCTCCTGCCCCCTTCTTGCGGTTAGTGTGTTTCTTCATCTTCCGCTGCCTCATGTCTCCCTATCTCCCGATCCCCGAGTTTCTAAATCTCTGAATAATGTCCTTGCTTCTCTGTCTCCCCGTGTGCCTGCCTCTCCATCCTGCTATGTCCATGTTTCCTGTCTTTGCGTGCACTCTCTCCGTGTCATCTCCTCTGCCTTCCCTCCCCACCCCCGCCCCC